CGCCACTACCGCTGCCGCCGCCGCTTTTGCCGCCGCGGGTGGATTCCGCCGCCGCTGCTGCCGCCACCGCGCCGGCAGCGGATTCCCGAGGCGGGCCCGGGGGGGGGGGGTAGGGCACGACACACTGAGCCCCCACGTAGTTGACTATCCTGTGCTGATCGTCCCGGAGGGCGGCGACGAAGAACTGGTTCCAGAAGGTGGTGCCGTCGGCCTTGTAGTTGAGGAGACAAACAGACACGTCCTCCCCCCTCGTAATCGCCTGCGGGGGAAAACGAGGACCGGGCACGGACGGACGGTCGTTGAATATTTTGTAGCGTCGTGTGGAATGGTAACAAATTTGCGTGTGATGGTATGGGATCGGATCGAAACGGCCCGCTGGGTTTCGAGCTGTAAAAGGTAGGCAAAGGGAATCACGACGTCGAACGGTATGAATATGACGGCATCGGATCGGATCGTGGATTGAAATGGCCCGGCTTTTGAGCTAATGTAAGATGGGGCAAAGGGAAAGCTCGTCGTCGTGTTTTGGCCCGTGGTTTCTTGTGGCGAGGGAGCTTGTGATTGGCACGCGAACGCATCGCCACAAAACTGGGGTGAGGTTTTTGGCTGATTGTTTCTTTCTTTATCTAATTCCTAAACGCATCGTGTGTCACCGAAAAAAAGGAGGAAAACTATAGTCGGAAGAAGGACGGGTTGAACTCGTGTCCACCGGGAACTAGCTGCACAGACAAGAAAAAAATCGAGATACTCCGTCTTTCGAAAAAATATTTTAAAAGAAACAGGCGACGAGGCGACGAGTGTAAAACATCAACCGCCCCAGGCCTCCACAAAACAAACACGAAACAGACGGGATACGCCAACTTGTTTACCGATGACTGCTGATTGTGAAAGCAGTCGACACAGCAGTAGAAAATCTGATAGGGGGGGGGGGGGGGGGGGGGGGGGGGGAACCCCCCCCCAAAAAAAGGGGGGGAAGGAAACAAATCCCCCCCCCCTGGGGGCCCCCTTTTCCCCCTGGGGGGGGGAACGGGGGGGGGGAAAAATGGCCAAACCCCCCCCCCAAGGGGGGGGGGGGGCCCCGGGAAGGGGTTTTCCTTTGGGGGGGGGGGGGGGGGTTTTTTTTCCCGGGGGGGGCCTTTTAAAAAACCGGGTTTTCCCCCCTTAACCCGGGAATCCCAAAAAAAAAACCCCCTTTGGGGGGGGGGAAAAAAAAGGGCCCCCCCCCCAAAAAAAAAAGGGGGGGGTTTTCCCAAAGGGTTTTGGGGGGGGGGGAACCCCGTTTGGGGGGGGGGGGGGGGGGGGGGCAACCCTTTTTGGGGTTGCCTAAACATTTT